CTGTTTAATATACTGTACAGAACATTGTAAAAAGCAGAAAAATACCACACATATCTGAATTTTCTTAAAAAAATAAAAAAAGCAACTTCTTGGATTCGGCTTTGTCTGATTTGCTAAATAGTTGGCATACCACCATGTCTCCGTGTTATCTGTCTTTCCTTGGCTCGATTACAAGCCCACAAAGCTAAATTGGGTGATTTTGAAACTAAACACATAGGGAAGTATGCATCACAAAAAAAAGATAAAAGATATAATTTCCAATGGATTTTAGTACAATCATTTTAGATCATGTTCACTTCAAAGTTCACTTCTCAATAAACACTTAAACTAAGTTTTAAATGCAAAACCAGATGCAGTCTTGTACATTGAAAGCTCACATTATATATACCCCTACACTTAAGAAGGGTGAACCAGACCGTGAATGGGGCAGATAAACTAGAACAGATATCAGTTTGTAAGACATTTTATTCCCCATGGTTAGTGAGGAAGAGGCATCTATTAGTGATACTCCCGCCAACTTCAGGAATTTTGTTGCTTAGCAACACATTGGTTCCTGATGATCGTACGCTTTGTCACAAAATAATCGCCTGTAGCCATTGCAGCGATCCCTCTAATGTTAATTTATGTAAAAAATCTTTGTTCTAGATTGCGGCATGTAATTAGCAAGTACAAGGGATTGCAGGACTTCCTTAAAGGGATTCTCTTAGCACCATAACCACTACAGCTTATTGTTGGTTAAGGTGAAAGGAGTCTATAGATGCTTTCCCACTGTTTCTGTCAAATGGTTTCAATCATAAATAAAGATTTATTTATTTTTAAAGATCTCTCATACTGGGATGTTTTGTAAAGAAGGTTTAACCTCTCTTATTTTACATACAATATATTTGTATAGGTCAGCAATATTTGGATATGTCTTTCTCTCCGACATCTCTAAGTATCCCTCATGTCTGTTACCGCAAAGTGAACTCTCTACCTCAATGTCTTCTCACTCTTCCTTGAAACCAACCTTAAGCGATTCCCCTAACCACTATACTCTTCCAATAAGTTCTAGAATCCAACAAGACTGTTTCTCTCCACTGCAAATCCAGAACATGCCAGGGGCAGGGGGTTGTCAGTTGAAGTGCTTGCATGTTAGCACCAAATCCTGTGATGTACCTGGCAAAGGAGGTTTGGGTGGTGGGCTTTCTCTCTGAGCCAGTCAGTTGGGTCTACGTGTTTGGAGTCAGGCCTGCAAAAGCACTTTGTGTGCTGGAAATGTTCTTACATGTTTTAGTGCTTTTTGAATTTAATAATATGCCTTTGCAGCTTTTTTTGAGTAAAAAACATTTGGTGTCCTGGTGGGACATGGATCCCGAATTTCTGTGTCTTGTGTTTCACCTATCCTATTACCTTGTCATGCTTAAGTCTGCAGTTCAAGTTATCGGGTCCTACTCTCTGGATTTGAAATTTTATAATAACTTTTACTTGACATATCTAGTGCTGTGCAATTTGTTTCCCGCTATATAAATGCATGACACTGATAATGTGTGTCATCTACATTTACATGGAAAGCAAGTCTTAAAGGGACACTATAGTGTCAGGAATACAAACATGCATTCCTGACACTATGGTGCTGGTGTGGCAGTTTAGGTCACCAGCTCCCCTGTCAGGGCAGTGAAAAGGTGTTTAAACTAACCTTTTTTCCTGCGCAGCGCCAGTATCACTGCAGCTGGCTCCGCCTCATAGGAAAGCATTGGGAGGCTATTGCGCATGCGCAGCAAAACACTGGGCCAATCATCATCTTCTCATAGAGATGCATTGAATCAATGCCTGTCTATTGGGAACGTTCAGCGCCTCTATGAAGATCGTTGAGATACTGAACGCACAGTGCAGCACTGGACTAGGAAGCACCTCTAGCGGCCCTCTGAGTGACTGCAACTAGAGGTGTTCCTAGGCACCAATGTGAACACTGCCTTTTCTCTGAAAAGACAGTGTTTACATTAAAAAGCCTGCAGGAACAAGCTTTAGACACCAGAACAACTACATTAAGCCGTATTGGTTCTGATGACTATAGTGTCCCTTTAAGCACTTCCGGTTCATATTCTGTCCTTAAAACTTTGGATCCTGTTGCAAATTATTTGCTACAGTTTTTGTGTTCTTTAACATTAAAAATAAAGAATTATTTCTTTTTTATGTTCCTGTTCAACGTTATCCGTTTTGAACATTCTATATTGCAATGCACAATTCTTTCCCCTCAAATTATTTAATGATTTAAACAGTATTTGTGGCTGAGTGGATCTGAGAGTTTCATATATTAACAAATTGTTAAATAAGGCTGGTTCAGTAAATCAAACTAACGTACCTTCTTCAAAGGCAATGATACTCCACGTGACTGTTTTGATTTAGATGCATGGCTTCCTGTAAGGTTTGTGATCAGAATGAGTGTAATTTGGACCAGCGTTTCATGGAGTTTTCCGGTAAGAAGTAAAGCCTGTCTCTATTGTTATCCAAAAGACATGAAACAGGCAGTTTGGCTCCGGCGTTGTATATAAATCCAGAGCTGATTAATTGTATGTGATGTTAGTGTTTGATTCACAGGCTGAGTATGTTTTTGTGTGTAACGTCTTATTTTTATTGCCGACTAATGTTAAGACGAGGCCTTCTCCTTACATTTAAAACACAAAACCCACTGATGATTCATCAGATTTTAAATGCTTTCATGCGGGTACCACTGACTTGAATGGCAGGGGAAATTTTACAATATCCCACATCAAAGAGCATAGACTTTATAATTAACCTCTCTCCCTCCACAGCTGAAATTATCCTCTTGGAGACAGACAAGCCCATAACAAATGCTGATGTCTATATGATGAGATAATAAATAAATCAATTTTAAAAATATTTCTTGACACTATCATATATAGAGTAAGGAAAATAATGTTAGTATATTACATTATTTAAAAAAAATTAGGTAAGACTTGTCTTATTGTTCTATTTATAGTGCATTTTTAAATTTACTTCATATTACAAAAATCCAAAAGGTAATGAGAAGTTGCATTTTTTAAAATTGGGAAAGAGAAGGTAATAGTATTTTAACAGTATACCAAATTTATAATCAATTTCATTTTTTTAATTAAGAAAAGGATTTTTAGGATTCTATTATGAGGTTTTAAGGTTCTACATGACACAGTTAAATGTTTAATTTAAGTAAACAAATAACCCATTGCGACTGAATATACTACTGTATAACTACAAATACAATGTATTGACCTTTATTATGTGTATATATATATATATATATATATATATATATATATATATATATATATATATATATATATATATATATATGTATGTATATGTTTGTGGAAACATTTATACTTATTACACATATACTTTTCTAAATAGTATATTCAGGTAGGTATTCAGAAATATTTAGAACACTTCATGAACTTAGATCCAAAGCGAACAAGTTCTTGCTATGTAGTTTAAAAAAAAAAAAAAAAAAACATTTTTCAGCCAGTAGCCCAAAAACAATGAATTCAAATTTATATTAACTATGCAAGAAAAAAATATATTTGTATGTGGCCGAATGTAATTAACATAATAACTAGAAAATAAAATGCTTTAAAAAGTGTAGATGTATAAAGTAATTATTGGATAGTTGAAATTGTGTTGGCAATAATGATTGTGAGCTAGTGTTAACCAACAACGTATTTAACTCATGCTCTAATTATGTTTTGAGGTTTAATCTAATACTCTGTATGTTTTGATTAGCCACACATTTTTCGGAATCTAAAAACAATATTCTCTTAATCTTTTTATTTTGTTATTTGCAGTACAGAACATGTGTAAGAACTAAGAAACACATGCAAAAATGCTAAAAAATATAAATTTATTTTTATATTTAATTTACTGACAGCTATCAGTATATAGAACTGCCCAATAGAGACTATTTTGCATTCAGAGAAAAGAATTAACAAATGCAAGCATATTACAATTTTAACAGTATACGGCAAATACTAGTAACCCAAAATAGCGAAAAGAGGACAGAAAAAGAGTGGGAAAATTGTTGAATATACATTAATCAGTGAAATTCATTGTTGGCCTTCTCAATTCATAACTTTTATATCAAACACATACAGCTTAAATCAACGACTCACAGATAATACAGTATCACTATTGTATGATGGCTTTTAATCATTAACCCAACACTGCCACTCCTAATGCAACATTAAAATTTTTTTAAAAATTTAATAAAGCTTCAATTCAAACTTTCGCCTTAAAAAATACATACAGTTAAGTATCATTTTAGGTTAATTTTGGTTTTCTATTCAACATCGGATTCAAATAGCTATAGTTTCAGTTATATAAAATGTATATATATATATTAATGTATGTTTTCTACCATTTAAGAGGATTTCCAGAAATCTCACAGTAGAGAATTAATAATTGAGAATAAGGAAGTAAATCCCTCCGCCCAGAATAAATTGCCCCCAGTTCAATGAAACACAAGAAGCTTAATAGTGCAGAACATCAAGGTCCTGTGATCTAACCAGAAATTACTAAAATAAGTGAAACAGAGACAGGAATTGTATCCCTGGCAGTTGGCCAGTGTCTCATTCATAGTTTTTGTAATTAAACACAATAGGATTGGGGGGCGGGGCCGGACCGCCGAGCAGGATGGTCGCAAGCAACTTCAGCTCCTGCAAATTTCCACCCTATAAGCCCTTAAAGCATGATATATTCTGAGCTGGCAGACCGACAGCACTGGTCCTCAGTGTGCTGGGACCACTGGACCCAGGGAGAGGCTGACTCCCCGAGTTGCAGTCCCCTGGGGGAGAAATTGTCGCTCCAGATGGGGCCTTCTTTGGCGGTGAGTAGGGCAGACGGCCGCTGTCCTGCTATCCTGCCTGACAGTGCCTGGCCAGAGGTCCGGACCGGCGAGAACCTGGCTCTGCCCCCCCCCCCGGACCGGTGGGGGTGATCCCGGTCCCCACCCTGTGACCCTGAGAGCGGCAATGCAACTGGGGCCCAGCAGTACTACCAGCTTGATCTGCGGCCTGGGCACCCCACCTAAGATGGCGGACGCCACGTGCATCGAAACTTGCAAGATAAACTGCAGCCCCCAAGTACCCACAAAATACAACAAAGCAACCGGGCGCGAGCAAACCAAAGTCCCACAACGACCACCGGTAAACACCCGTCAAGATATCCCAGTACAACGTTTACCCCAAAGGTCACAGCACTGGAATATGGCTGCGACATAGGAGCAGGCCTGCAACAGACGGGAAAAGCGGGGACGCGGCAAACCAGCAACCACAGCACGGAATAACCCACGGCAAAACAGGGCATTGAAGCATGTGCCTCTGACACACCGATCACCCACACAAAGTGCTGCGACACACAACACCCCGACCATCAATGAAGACACCACGCTACATACCGACAGCCGGCCAGCAAGGGGCCCCTCTCGACGCATGGAAGGCTCCAGCACAGCGAGAGTCCACCCTGCACCACCGCTCTGTCGCCTCCTCTCCGGTTGTCTCCCCTACAGCGAAAGAATCTACAGCTCAGCCTCGGAATGGAGTGGGCTGAGGGCCGGCACGGAGCGCACAGAAGCGGGATGCTGCAGGCTACTGCCAAATCCTTCCTGCACCGATACATTACAGGAGGCACCCAACAGGACTTGGACACTGTCGATGACTGGCTTGCCGGGGTAATCTATTATGTAGCTGGTACTAGCTGGACATGTTTCACTGGCCCACTAGGGCAGCCTAATACCTTTACTTATTATTATTTAACAGGATGCGTTAGTTTAGATCGCCAGTATAGCCCAATATGTGAATGTCTTCTCCACTCTTGGCATTATCTGTTTCTCCTGGTATACCGGAGTAACTCAATATGCACCTATTCAGTATACTATGTTTGCTAAACTTGTCTGAGTAACTTACTTTATACATGCACCTAACGTGGGGGGACTACCTAGCCTGTTAGAGCACAAAGACCAGCCTTCACATATACCTACTCAAAAAGTGGACACCACACGTCTCTTCCTTACAAACACTAGGCAATAGACGTGCACTTCACGTCAACCCTTTAAACATGAGTACTAATACTACACCTGTAGAACGTAATCAGGCAACTCATAAGATAGCAAGCTACACACTATGGGCTCACTCAAAACACCTCCACTACTCCGCTCTTTACGGCGCAGGGTTGGCAAAGCATGTCGGACACAGAAACAATTAGTCACCTCAACACAATATATACCAACAAAAGCATAATGTTTTCGCCTACACCTGTTATAATACATTTAAAACTGTGCACTACTTATCTTTACCCCACTTGTGAAATCTGTAACAAAACTCGAGGAATGCCTTTGGGGTACCTTGAGCCTGTCTGTACCAAACTTCTGCACTGCAAAAATAAAAAATTTAAAAAAAAAAAAACACAATAGGATTAAAATGTGGATCTTTAAGCTGACGGAGAAAAAAGATGCATTGTGTAGGACTATACAGACATGCTTAATGATGGATATAAATGACAGATAAATGAATCACACCTTTTAAATTGGTATATTATCTGAATATGCTAGAATATGTATACATATACTGAAATTTTTATTTGCCTAAACTTAAAGGAACACTCCAATATCACAACTAAAATTATTTTTAACGTAGGGGTGTTTTCAGCTTAATGCAACTGTCCCCACAGTAATGGCTCTCATGACTGCAGGCATGGTGGTTCTCTGCATTTCAGCAACTCTGTGGAGGAGACTGTACTCTCCATTGCCTTGCTGCTATATGGATCAGGAGCTCCGCAAAATGGGGTCCAGCTTGGGCAGTGTAGTCGCAATGGGTGTCACACTCGTCTGGTTCCATCCTCCACCATCTTGAAAGCCACAAGGGCCAGTCAATGTTGAGTGAACCCCGGGACCCGGACCCCCCATTTCCCCCACCCACACCCTCCACCTCCCGTTAAAAGACTTTGATTTGCTTTAGGGGTCTGGAACATATTTTTAAAATGTATTCACCTGCAGGTTTCCAACTACCAGAATACCAAACACTAAAGATTACTTTATGTAAACCCTATTACTTAACCTTTCAAAATGTTTTAAATGTATGGCGCGTTATTACTATATATATGTTTATTCAGTAAGCCATGACTTGTGAAGGAATGGAAAAAGAATTAAAAAATTTACATTTAAGTAGACAAGGTGAAACCATTCCCCGCAGTTTGGCTATTCAATTTGCAATCCCTTTGCCTGAAATCCATAACTCCTTGTTCAGTGATAAGCCTTATTAGACCTTTCCATGCCACATTGCCATTCTAGAAAACCGGTCTAGTGCAGGTTTCAGTTCGTAATGTGCATTTAATATTTTCTTAAAACAAATTCAATGTTTGTGCTACCCTTTTATATAGTAAAATACATTCATTTTTATGAGATGTTTTGCATGTTTAACGCTTGGATAACTTTTAGGGATTCACCCAAAATATGCAAAGTTACTGGTCAGCAATTACTCATTACTAACTTAAACTTATGGCAAAGTGATAAGATATACATGTATTCCTATAAGTAATAAAACATCACGCTGAGAATTCTCTGTGTGTTATCTGTGGATATAAATATTCTGTAATGCTGTTTTGGATCTCCAAAAAAATATACTGTTTTAAATGAACTCTTAGGACTGGAACTGAGAAAACTGTTGTATGCTCCAGTAGTAAACTCTCTGGAATAATATGCTTTATCTTCCTTAAGTCATGTTGCTTATTTTTATGCCATGTTAATTCAGAGTACTTTCAGGCTGAGGACTGAGGGTTTTGGTGATTTGATGCCCCCAGATATTGCTGTAGTGGAGCCTCCGACATCTTTCTACCAGCCTATGGCTATAATACGGGGAAGCAGTATACATACTTTTTTTTTAAATTTATTTATTTTTTACAATTCTTTATTTCGTTTTATTTTAGTGTTTGGCAAAAGTACATGCTCATTTTTCAAACAGTGGGATTAACAAAAGTAAAGGGTTAACATAGTAAAGGTTTTTCACGTAGTGGTTAACATAGTCATGCATTTGGATTCGTTTGATATTTCACCTGGCCTGGAACTGGAGTGCAGTAGAAGCGGGTTCTAGTATCCAGGGCCAGGACGACTGTGTTTGGCAGTTAGAAATTAAGGCGGAATCATGTAAGTATTCATACTTTTTAGTCAATACATTTAGAAATCAACTCATAATTTTTTATTTTGCTGTAGCCTAGATTGATTCGAGGGGGTGGTTTTAGTAACATTGCCACGCATTGCAGCTGTAAATTAAACACTACTAGTGGGAAATAAATATAAAAGAAACAAATTAAAACCAATGTGGCTTAGTAGAGAAGTAAAACAAGAGATTACAACTAAGAGAAGGGCATTTAAAGCATTTAAATCGGACAAATCAGATGCATCTTATAAAAGATGTACGGATGCAAATAATGCGTGCAAAAAGGCAATTAGACTTGCTAAACTTCAAAATGAAATAATGATAGCTGAAGAGAGCAAAACCAACCCCAAAGCATTTTTTAAGTACATAAATTCTAAAAAGAAACAAAATGAAAGAGTAGGTACACTAAAAACTGAAACGGGGGTGTTAATTAATGAAGACCAGGAAAAGGCAGGAATTTTAAATAACTATTTCTCCTCTGTATATATTAAGGAAGAACCCATGGCAACAGATGTGCAAATGATTGCTACTAGAAGCTTGCAGAATAATTGTAATTGGTTAACTCAAGACAAGGTGCTGCTGCAACTAAAGAAAGTTAATATAAACAAAGCTCCAGGGCCTGACGGTATCCATCCACGTGTACTTAAGGAACTAAGTGTAGAAATAAGTGAACCTCTGTTTTTAATCTTTCAAGATTCTTTTCTTTCAGGAAGTGTTCAGGAGGATTGGAGGAAGGCAGATGTGGTTCCTATATTCAAAAAGGGTTCAAAATCCTTGCCTGGAAATTATAGACCCGTGAGCTTAACTTCTGTGGCTGGTAAAATATTTGAAAGGTTATTAAGGGATAATATTCAAGAATTCCTTGAGAAGAACATGGTCATCAGCAAAAATCAGCATGGTTTTATGAAGCACAGGTCATGTCAAACTAACTTGATTGCGTTCTACGAAGAAGTAAGTAGAAGTATAGATCAGGGTATTGCCGTGGATGTGATCTATTTGGATTTTGCCAAGGCATTTGATACAGTTCCACACAATAGATTAGTGTTCAAACTCAAGGAAATCGGTCTAGATGAAAATGCTTGTTCTTGGGTAGAACATTGGCTTAAAAACAGAGTACAAAGAGTTGTCATTAATGGTACATTTTCAAGATGGACAGAGGTGGCAAGTGGTGTCCCTCAGGGGTCTGTTCTGGGACCCCTTCTATTTAACATGTTTTATAAATGATCTTGAAGACCGCATTGAAAGTCATGTTTCAGTGTTTACAGATGACACCAAACTTTGTAAAACAATACAATGTGAGCAAGATATTACTTTGCTGCAGAGGGATTTAGATAGACTGGGGGACTGGGCACTCAAACGGCAGATGAAATTTAATGTTGAAAAATGCAAAGTTATGCACTTCGGCGTAAAGAATACACATGCAACGTATACCCTTAATGGAAGCGAATTAGGGATAACAACACACGAAAAGGACTTGGGAATTGTTATAGACAACAAACTATGCAACAATGTGCAATGTCAATCAGCAGTGGCCAAGGCCAGTGAGGTATTGTCATGCATGAAATCACTGGTAAGACCACATATTGAATATGCTGTGCAATTTTGGGCACCTGTTCTAAAAAAGGATATTATGGCACTAGAAAAAGTGCAGAGGCGGGCTACAAAATGAATAAAAGGAATGGAACATATCGGCTATGAAGAAAGGTTAACAAATTTAAACCTATTTAGTTTAGAAAAACGTCGCCTGAGAGGGGATATGATAACATTATACAAATATATTCAGGGCCAATACAAACCATTGTGTGGAAATCTATTCACAAACTGGACTTTACATAGAACACGAGGCCATGCGTTTAGACTGGAAGAAAGAAGATTTCGTCTAAGGCAAAGGAAAGGTTTTTTTACTGTAAGAACAATCAGGATGTGGAATTCTCTGCCTGAAGAAGTGGTTTTATCAGAGTCCATACAGATGTTCAAACAGCTACTTGATGCATACTTGCAAAAACAGAATATTCAAGGATATAATCTTTCAATGTAGGGTAATAACTGCTTGATCTAAGGATAAATCTGACTGCCATTCTGGGGTCAAGAAGGAATTTTTTTCCTAGCTTGTTGCAAAATTGTGCTTCAAACTGGGTTTTTTTGCCTTCTTTTGGATCAACAGTAAAAAACAAATGTGAGGTAGGCTGAACTTGATGGACGCAAGTCTCTTTTCAGCTATGTAACTATGTAACTATGTAACTATATTAATAGAATAAATGAGTAAAAAAAAGGAAGAGAACTTCTAACTTGAATTTATTGAATATAAAATAAAATATTTAAAACAATTTCTCTTTTAAAACAAAGTCCACCTGCATGCAAAAGCATTTCGATGGTGAGTCTTTATTAAAGTGTTTTAGTGCTGCAGAACTTTGTCCACCAGCAGGCATCCAGGGATATGGATTTTTACACCTGAAGTAGTACCGGTCTCCATATTGCTGACTTTAATGTTCCCAAGTTGCTCGTTACTGATCTTGGA